GGATTCTTTAAATGTGTCTTTGCTTGTTTCTTTTTTTGATTCGTTGTCATTAGAAGATTAATGATCATATATATTTATAAGTGTATATATGATCATTAATCTTTTAGTATATATACATATATATATAAGCTATATATATATATATAAAGGCAGAGTGAGACTATAGGTATATATTTATAAAGACTATACATATGTTTTTTATATATTAATTCACGTATATTTATAAGACTATATGTATTTATTTCTATATTTGATCACCAGTTTAATGATTAAGGAACAAAGTATTTGCTCTTGTTTTATAATCTACATGAGACATTAGAAAATGGTATGAAATACTGAGTTCTAATGCAAATAAGAAATCATGCAGATGCTTATGTAATAATGTTAAAAAGCAAACTGAACTCCAAATCCAGAGTGAATCCTTGGCCAAGACAACCCTCTATCCAAAACAAAAATAAGTATCAAATTTCATTCAATTAAGAAAAAATGTGGAGCCTCCTTTGAGCTTAACTCACTACTCCTTCTTGAAGAAGAGACATGCTATATTCATTTAAATAACTGCCACTTTGCTCATAAAGTATCAACAGACTTTATTAAATAAATCCTGTGTCATAGAGACAGTGCTACGGTTAACAGTACAATAGTTTCTTAATCTAATGTTACAAATCTTTAAGACTGTGTCCCTACTTGTTCATCATAGAGATTTATCTCTCATAAGTTGCTTACCTTACTGCCAGACCCAAGGGTATCTTCTCGTTCACTATTTGTCTAAAGTTCTGAGTCACAATTTGCATGGATGACCCCTCCTCACTAAGTCTTTAACCCAAGGTACCCCTGACATTAACATTGCTCTTGTTTTTCTATTTCTCCAGCACAGTCATACCCCTCCCCCATTTTTGTACTAAGTGGAATGGGAATAAGAAACTCTCTTGACAGTTCCTAACTGGCAATGTCATACATCAGTTTATGTTACTCTACCATCACCCCTTGGTACTTGCTGAACTAGGTTTTCACTTTTGGCTGCATAAAAGACATCAGCATTTGGAGTACCCATCAACATTTAGCATTCCGTATGTCTTCAAGAACTCATTATTTTCATTGTTAGATGAGCTCCTTTCCAGTTTTATTTTTGCCATCCTTGGTTACTAGTTCTTCTGTCTCCGTTATTCAGTATGAGAATTAACTCTTATTTTCCAATTCCTTTTGCTCCGCTCCACTTGGCAAGCACTGTGCTTCCTCAGAGCAAGGCCACCCTCCCTTTTGCATCCACTACTCTACCGCTTCTTCTGATTTTCTTCAGAGTGATGTGGCTACCCCTGAACTAGTCCCACCACCTGGCTTTTCAAGATCCACCTGTGCCTCATAGAGAATCATCTGACAAAAGGGTTAGGAGATGAGTTAAATAAGGGGACAAATCTTAAAGTTTTCAGAGAAGGAAATTTTCTAGACAAAGATCACAGAAAGTAAATTGCTGAGTTTCCAAAAGTCTGTGTCTTAAACCGAGAAAGAACATGCTAGTTCTACAATTAAAAATGAATTATAGTAGCACTTTAGACTCTGTTTTGTGACAGAACAGCAAGAAAAATCTAACAAATGAACCTCTTAGCGATGTGGAAAGAAATATACCCGATTCTTAATCTTTTTAAAACCTATTAAAATTCTGAAGAAATCACATTCCTTATTTTGAGATGTTCACAATTTCACTTATTCCAAACTCCTGAGGCACAATTTTAAAATTTGATGGTCATTTTTTAGGGCTAGAGTCCACAATAGTATCTTTCAAGTATATAAGTACAATGCCCTAAAAACTTTTAACTACAAAAAAAAAAAACCTTTTAACTACTTATATCATTGTGAATAAGTTAGCTTCTTTAAAAAATGTTTTTAAATTATAAATATAATTTAGTTATTAATTACCTATGCTGCATTAGCTCTTATTTCTCAATAATCTATAAAGAAATATATCTGCCCAAAAGGGCTCAGCGGGAGTCTTTCTTATCAATAAAGCTATCAGAAATCACAAGTTCAGAATGCTAAATTTGCATGTTTTCTAAAATTTCAGTAACAAGCTATAAGCAGAACAAGTGACATTTGAAGTGAACAACTAGATATTATTTTTAGACTATTTTATTGAAGTGTATTGTTTTATGAATTCAAATCCTGATGGATTTGCCTACAAGCAATGCATAGAATACAACCACTGAGCCCATAACGAAGCTGAGTATCACAGGGCAAAAATCTAAAATAGATTAACTCCAAAAGGAAGGTAGTTTCTTTTTAAAATAAAATGGTCTATATTGAGGATAAAGACCAAATTGAGCAAATTGTTTCAGTCTTCAACGCAAATCAATAAACTAAATGTAATGTGTCAAATACTGGAAACCTTTGAAATCCTTCAAACCCAAGGATTAGGGTAGAAAGCATTTTGCTGCATTTGCTTTGTTCCTCTATTCTTAACCTGAAAATCAATTTTTCTAGGTTTGGTGATACAAGGAATCAAAAGAAGAAATTAGAGGAGATCAAGTCACCCTGCAATGTGAACATAAACCTGCAGTAACAGCTATGTGTCTGAGGACGTGTCGACAATAAAACTTTGTACAGCTATTGAACATATCTTTAAAATCCCTATTGTTGAAAGATGCAAAATCCAGTGTTTTCTCCTGTAGCCTTAATGAGTTAAATTGAAAATTATCTCATTAGTTTTGAGTCCCCTTGCAAGGCAAGAAAATGGCATTCCCATCTAGCAGCTGGAGAAAACAATGAAGTGGGTGCCACTGCACTCTACTACAAAGGAAAAATAGTTCTAATATAGCTGGAAGTTGATAGGAAAAGATTATTTTATATACATATCCTTTTCTATTATCTAGCTCAGTCCTTGGATCACAGCCCTGTAATTTTCGCCAGAGTGGATTATTGCTTTGTGTGCTGGCCCTGCACTTTCCCCCTTTCGTTTACTTTTAAACTTTTTAATCTGGACAATGTAACATCTGGTCAATGGTGAGTGTTCAGCAAACTTACTTGAATCGTTTATTCTACTAAGCATTTTTTTTTAATCTTAAAGGTCCAATAGATCACCATTCTTTGCAAAATGCAGGGAGGTATAATTTAAGAAGTAGGAAATTAATCTGTAGTTTCATTAAAAAACAGTTTGAGATCGCATTTAAAAATTTTTTGCCAATCATATAGTTTCAAGTTTTTCAGAATCGTGTTCCCCTAAAACTGGGATGTCATAACGGGGCAGAATACCTTCAAGTTACTTGCAGTATTGTTGCAGTGACGACTCTCAAAAGTAAAGGAAAAGACAAAAGCAAGTGCCTTATGGATATCCAAAAGAACACACACACACACACACACAGAGCTAATCATTTTTTTTAATTGTCTAAGAAAAATCTCCAGTCAAACCAGGGCAACTTAACATCATTTCAGCATTCCTAACGTTGGTCTTTGTGTAACGACTGTGACATCATGACAGTGAAGTATTCATTTTTAAGCCTTAAACATTTTACCTCTATGTGTCCAATAGAAGTACAATATGTAAATTAACCTATATTATCTGTATGCTGATTGGCTTGACTTCCCCTGAATGTCACAATCTCACCACCCAGCGATGAGGTATTTTACTGCTGCCTCAAGATCAAATTATTATTGTAGAGAGATTTTTTTTCTGTTTCATTAACAGATGATTATAAAGCAATAAGCCTGCAGCAAGACAAGCAGACATTTACCTTGGGAATTAACAAAAGCGTGCCTGCTACCTTTTAAGGGGTGGAGAGTCGGTAGTTGATTAAAATCTTACTCCACCCTCGGAAAAACTCTTTGGAAATGGGAGAATCGGGACGTGGATGATTCTAGAGGCGTGCCTAATCACCAGGTGTCAGACTATGTGGTGTTTGTGGTGTAAGTTTTCGGTCTTCATCATATTCCTGATCTTTTTTAAGTGACTAATAACAAAGGAGAGGGATGGGGGAAACTCATACACTCCCCAGCATTCACATCAGCAACCTATTGGTCAGCCCAGCTAAGAGGAGAAAGGAGAGGCTTGTAGCTTGGTGGGGTGGGATGTGACGAACAGCCATGTAAAATCTCTGTACTTCTGATCCGTTAGTCACATTCGAGAAGGTAGAATGAGTGTAGATGGTTTTTGCACTTGTCTGAACTTAGCTTCTCCTTCCTTAAACGCTGATCTGTGTGCCTTCGAGAACAGATGACGACTAACAAAGATAGGGCTGCCCTAACCCGCTTCCCTTCTTCCCCCATTGACAAGATTTTTGACTGTGCTTAATCTTTTTTTTTCCTTTCTTTTTTCATTCTTTCTTTTTCTTTCCCCAGCTAACGTGCCAAATCAAAGAGCAGCAGTGAAAATCATTTGAGAAGAATTCTCCAAGGCGCATCCAATGCTTAGCAGGACCACCCTGACAGAGAAAGGAAGACGATGTTTCGGGAAGGCGAGGGTTCGGGGCAGCTGGGGCGGAGGCGGCCGTCCCCGGCACGGAGGCTTCGTGCGCTGCCCTAGGGGAAGAGGATGGGCCTGAGGTCCGGGAAGAGCCTTCCCGAGCCCCCCACTTCCAATGCGAGGAGGGAAAAGTTGCGAAGCAGCCTCGAGGGAACAAAAGCCTGATTCGGGACCGGCTGAATTGGACAGGACCTTGAAGCAAGCCAGCCTGCTCCGGGGACAGGCAGGGGATCCCGCTGGCTCGCGGAGGCCGGAGCTCCCCTCGCCGCCGCCGCCGCCCTCGCCACCGCGCCGCCGCCGCGGCCCCTGCGTTACTGGGGGAGACGGTGCCGCTGCGACAGGGGAGGACGCGGCTGGAGCTGAAGGAGGCTCCAACGCGCAGGCGCCGCCGAGCCCTGCCTGGATGCTCAGTCAAGGCACTCAGGAAAAAAAAAATCAGCAATTTATAGAAAGAAGAAGCTATAGTCTGTCGGGATATCCAACACCAACAGGTAGGAGGATATACTCTCGTTTAAGTTTTGGGGAGGGGGGTTGCACCGTGTGGATGAAACTGCAGGTTCACCAGGATACAGCCCTTCCACAGGGTTTTTTTTTTTTATATTTTTTATGACAATAAACTGCATAATGGAAGTACATTCAGACAATGCATCTTCTATAAGGCTTATTAGGAGTTCGGTTTCTGGAAAGCTTTGCAAAACTGAGGAATAACAGACTGCGAATCAACGGGAACCCTTCCCTTGCAGCACAGAAGCAATCTCTCCCCATCTTCGAGTATGTAATGCATATCTCTCTCTCTCTCTCTCTCTCTCTCTCTCTCTCTCTCTCTCTCTCTCTCTCTCTCCCC